CCCTCGTCTCCCACCACAGTGACCTGGAGGCCAAAGCTCAGAGGAAGCAGGACTTGTTGAAAGAGCTGGCGGTAGAAGAGAGTAATGCTTCCCCACGTTTTGAGCCTGATCTCCACATTGAGGACCTGAGGAAATCCCTTGGGACGGTGAGCTTTTCTGTGCCTTGGGAGGGTCAGGCTGGCTGGGCTAGGGCAAGGCTCCAGGCACCAGGAGGGGGTGGGCCTCCAAGGGTGCACCGGGACGGGGTGGGGCACCGGGGCGTGGGGCTCCAGGAAGACTCTGGGCTCCTGGAGGGGTCCTGGCTCTGTTCTGCAGAGAACCTTAGCCTCCTATTCTTATCATTCCTAGTCCCCTTCTCCATCAGTCAGATTATATCTGTAAGTGAATAGTCCAGCGGCTGGCAGAACCATTTCTGTGTCTGGGCCACTAGGAGGGACTTCGGGGTCCTTGGAGCCTGTAATGTATCTGATGTTACCTTCAATGGGCCTTTTCTGCTATGTGTCCTAGAACCAGACTAAAGAGGTATCCTTTTCCCTCTCCCAGAGCAAGGAGGAGACCGACTTGTCCTTGGACAGGTGAGTTCCAATAACCTGTCTTATTTTGCGTTGAGGATGCCAGGAAGGGGTAAGTGAGTGCCTGCGTCACAGAGCCGGGGTGGACCGAAACGTGACGGCGGTCTCCAGTGGGGCTCGGTTCAGGGAAGGGGACCTGGGTGCCTGAGGAATCGTCTCTGACAAGCCAAGAAGGTGCCCATGGTGATCTCTGGCATCTGCTGACCTCTGCTTGTGGGTCAGGCTGATGGGAGTGCCTGGCCCTCTCTGGAGGCCTCAGCCACGTTCCCTTTCACGGGTGGGAGGACTCAGTGCAGCACGTGCCCCGCGCTCTGTGGGTATTTAGTGGCGACGTCCCCGCACTCTGCCCGGCCCCAGCACCGCAGTCTGTGCTCAGGATGGGCATCTGCTGGGGAAGTGGTCGTGACCCACAGCAGGGGTTCTCAGAGAGTGTTTCCCCCTCCAACCCCCCGCCCTGGCCTGTCCCCCCACAGCGCCCGGCACTACCTCTCTGCCGAGGGGGTGGCTCTCCGCAGCGCCAAGGACTTCCTGGTCCGGCAGACGCGCTCCATGCGGAGGCGACAGACAGCTCTGAAGGCCGCCCAGCAGCACTGGCGCCACGAGCTGGCCAGCGCTCAGGAGGCGGCCAAAAACCCGCCAGGCACCAAGGCCCTGGAGGACATGTGCAAGGACCTGGAGGAGGTCAGGAGCCTGGGGGAGGGCCTGCCAGACATGTGGGGGAGGCCTGGGGCAGCCGGCGGCACCTCCTTTGGACTCGCCTTCAGTTGATCATTCTGGGGACTCCACGAGAGTGGTCACATGGGCCTTGGGGTCACTGGACAAGTCTAGGGAGACCGGACAGGAGATATAGGATACGATCTCCACGAGGATGGAAGCTTCCTTACATTTACGTGCCAGTGCAGTGTGTGGAATGCCTTCTCTAACAGGAAGTCATTTGGGCCTCACAGTGTCCATAGGTGACGTGCAAGGTAGTAGTGGTATTCCCATTTTCTAGGGGAAGAGGAGAGACATTCCACAGTGCTTGGCCATTCCATCACACTCAAGACTTCACTCAGAAGTGAAAGCCTTTTGAGCACACTCGGCATAAGCTTGAGTTACTTCTCTCTTTTCCTTCTCTGAGACCCTAATTTGCAATGAAATGGCAGAGGCGTTGTGGTTATTATCAGTGGGATCACAGCTCTCTCTGCCATTCGGGGGTCTTGGCAGACGATCATACCTGGTCCCTTAGAATTCTGAGGGTGCTCAGAGCTGGTGAGTGAGCTGTGGCCCCTAAGCCTGGCTGGGGGGCGGCAGAGGGCAAGAGGCTGGTCCCGATAGAGGGGCGGCCTTCCCAGGGACATCTGCATGCTACCCCCAGGCCCTGTCATTGTTCTGCTGAATCCCTCCTGCTGCTGCTGCTGCTGCGAGTATTGGTAGTTGGAGCGGTGATAACAGTAACCATTTGGTTAACAGTAACCATCTGAGAATGTATTAGGCGTGGGCATAGTGGGGGCACGTAGCATACTCTCTCTCTCTCTCTCTCTCCTAATCCCACAACCCTATGAGGAGTAGTATTTCTGTTGTTTAGATGAATGTCCAGACTGAGAGTTCAGTAATTTGTTCAAGATCACCCAGATCAGCCAGCCCACACCCGGCAGAGCTGGGCCTCCGGCATCTGCCTGTGTGGTTAGTCACCGTCTCTCTCCGCCCCTTTCTTCCTGGCTGCAGGAGACCAGGCACCTGGAGGAGATGAAGTCAGCCATGCGGAAAGGCCGCGACCTGCGGCAGAAAAAGGAGGGGAAGCTGCGCCAGCTGGAGTCTTCTCTCTGGGACGAGGTGCAGCCCAATTGCTGCCGTGGCCTCCCTCCTCTGTTCCTGGGATTCGGTTGGGTTCTTTGGTCCTGTGTCGGGACAGCTGGGCTGCTAGGGCCCGGGACTGGCAGTAGGCTGAGGGCTTCTGGGCTGGTGAAAACGGCAGTGGCTTCAGCTTTGGATTCGTTGAACACACCTGGGGCTTTGGATATCTGTGCTGAGTGGTCCTGAGCAGACCCGGAGCCTCTTGCTGAAGGTTCTTGGATCTGTGCTGAGTGGTCCTGAGCAGACCCGGAGCCTCTTGCTGAAGGTTCTTGGGAGGGGACTGGCCCCTGCCCTGGTGCCCGAGGAGAAGTTTGCCCCGGGTGTCAGGAATAGAGGCTCCTAGGTGGTTTCCCTGCCTTCCCTGGGGCCTTGTAGCCTTTCCCCCAGATGCCAGAGGTGTAGGTACAACAGGAGGGAAGCTTAGGTGGAGAGACACCGTGGGGAGTGTTTACTGGGGGGGAGAGGGTTGGGGTCTGCCTGGTCCTGGTGGCCCTACTGCCCATCTTCGGTGGCTGGGTTCTCTTAGCCTCGCCCGTAAGGCAGCCTATATGACGTGCCTCTCCTAGAACTTTGGGCCCAGAGAGCCTACCCACCAAGTCCTCAGGTGTCACGAGGGCAGTGGGCAGAAAGCACAGGGCAAGTCCTTACTGCCGCTTCACCCACCAGGCTTCAGATGAAGACACTCTGAGAGGAACCCCCAAGAAGGTGGTGACCTTTGACCTCAGCGACCTGGAAGACGGGAGCAGCGACAGTTCCGAATCCTGCCCCCTGCCTCACAGTGAGTGGGGTATCCATGGGGAGCGGAGGTGCAGCCCGTCCCTGCAGCCCCGTGTGGCGGGCCTCTGGGGGCCAGTGTCTGGAGTAGATGCTTGGGCAGGAGTGAGCCCTCTGGGTTTCCCAGCACACCGGGCCCGGAGGCTCAGGGGAAGCCTTCTGATCGTGCAGGGTCCTCACAGTGAGACAGCGGTCCCTCTTAGCCTGTCCCTCCTGGTGCCGTCCCCCACCCCCCGGGGAGGCTCTTTCTCTCGGCCAGCTTCCTGTCTGGAAGCTTTTGTTGGGAGGAACAACGGGGAAGGGGTGGGGATGTGGGCCAGTAGGATGCACAGTGCCAGCTTGGCCTGGGCCATTCCAGGGCCCCGAGCCCGAGTCGTGCCCCACCCTCTGCCTCTTCCCTTTCAGTCGGCCCGACCCCGAGTCCCACTTTCCCCAACAAGATCCACTACCTGAGCAGCTCCCTGCAGCGGATCAGTGGCCAGCTCAACGGTGTCCTCAGCGTGCTGGGCAGCCTCAACACCCAGCCTCCGCCGCTTTTCACCTCCACACCTGCACCGCTCCCCACCCAGGCCTCCAGGAGCACCCCCGCTCCCTCCTACCCCTCCCTGGCCCGGGTCTCAGCCTCATCCCCGGCTCCACCCACGTCCACCCAGTGGGCCTGGGACCCAGAGCTGGGCCCCCGGCTCTCCTCCGTGGCTCGGACCGTGGACGACTTCCTGGTGGAGAAGTGGCACAAGTATTTTCCAAGTGAGCCTCCCGCTAGGCCGGGCGCGGTCCTGGGGTCGGCCTCCCCGCCTTCCTCCTCTGCCTGCCCCTCGCCCCCAACTGCGGCATGGCCCAATGACTCCATGGGGGGGTGCCTGAGAGGACCTTGCTGCTCACCCTGTGGCTGGAGGCCCTGTGTGTCTTGATGGTTTACCGGACGGGGCCTTTACGGTGGATGCTAGAGCTCAGCCGAACCTAGGAGGTCACTGTTGTCAGTGTCATGATCGCTGCCATCTTGTGTGTTATATATATTATGGCCAGGCATTTTATATATGGTTTTTCATTTAGTCCTTATATTAATCCTCTGAGGTTATAATATTTATTCCCATTTTACAGATGGGGAAACTGAGAGACTCAGAGGTTAAGTATTGATAACATGCTCCAGGGTACCCAGGGAGTGAGCAACAGACTGGGTTCTGACCCCATGTCTCTGTGACTCCAGGGTTCATGACCCCTTGGCTGTATGTGGCCCCCCCCTCCCCCCGGTCTCATAGCCCTGCTAAGGAATGTGAAAAGCCATAAAAACAACAGTTATTTGAAGGAAAAAGTTCGTCTCCTTATCCTGACCCGAATTGAAAATAATTTCAGTTTTAGAAATAAAATAAATAGGACCATTCCTGGCCATCCTCTGTCTCTCACCTCCAACCACAGAAGCTCTTCCTGTTTTTTTTTTTTTTTTTTTTTTT